ATTTACTTTTTTTTCAGGACACACCATTGACAGCATCAGATAACAGGACCTCATTCACTGCCACCACCACCATCATGGTCACCATCATAGATGCGGACAACAGGCCGCCGTGGTTCCAGCCTTGCACCAAGCACATGATAGGAGCGACTTTGATCTGCCAGAGTGCTGGATATACTGGCAGTGTTGTCATAAATGAACAAGAGGTATGCATCCAAAAAATCCTGCGCAGATACTGAACCATATCCACAAGCTCCATGTTTATGCTTTCCAGACTGTCCTGTGGTCGACCATATCTAAAGTCAAAGTGTTTCTACAAACTGGAGAACAAAAAAATAAATAAAATCTCAGCCTCCTCCTGGATTATTCCCACTATAGCCCTGATATATGGTGGCCCTGAAAGCTCATTGCACAGAAACTCAAGCATCAGAGGGGCAATGCTTACCCTGTGCACAGGCAATGCTGAATTTTTAATAGTGTTATAATGGTGTAGTTTTTCCCACATTAGGAAAATTGATTGGTTAATCTAAATAACCTGTAGATTGTGTCTCTAATCTCATTGGTTGCTAAAGTTAATGTATTACTTCACAATACGTTTTCATTTTCTGACATGATGACATCACTTATAATCCTTTATAATCCTATAGGATTCAGGAATACCTCAAAAATGAATTGTCTTTGAGACGTCTTCATGACGTCACTTATCATATGATTTGGAATAATTTTCTCTTTAGCCCGAATTTTTGCTGAGGTTCCTTTGAATGTGTGTATTTTTGTTGACTTTGACTGATTAGCAACAAAGTTAATCAGGGTTATGAGTTAAAAAGTACCAGATGTTTTTAAAGAGACACAAAATACGGCTGGTGTGTTTTCTGCTTTTAAGGTTAGATCCACACTACTAAGTACGAATACATAGATTTGTGTATGCTAAAACAGACAGTTTTAAAATCAGTCTGTGAAATTGCAAATATTTTTGAAAAAAGCAAAAAAAGGAGTAGAATGGTTGGGATTAGCTGCCCTCAGTACTCTCATCTCTGCGCCATTTTTCTTCCAGTCAATGAGGCAAGTGCAATGCATGATGGTATATATTGCTCAGCAAGTGACGTTTGGTTCTACACTGCTTTTCACGATGCACTGTGGGGCACAGAAAAGCATCTGAAACTAACTGATGTTGTAAAACAATCTGACAAAAGCTATCTGGAGGAGAAAGTGTCCTTAATCCAGCTTCAAACTCAGTTTTCACCTCTACCAGCCCACACATGATGATGATGAGAATGTTTTCTCCTCTGCAGAATGGAGCATTACAGCTGAAACCAGGCCCACTCTATGCCACTGATGGAGACACCGGGATAAATGAGGAGATAACATATTCATTTCTAAGTGGTGAGCATCCTGATTAAAACATACAGATAAGTGTCAGTGTCCACAGACATAACTTGTTCATTATTGGAATGTTTTAGCTAATTAGTGTTTCTTTGTTTTAGGAAACGACGAGCAACTGTTTGAGATCAATGCAAACACAGGGAACATCACCATGTTGAAGCCGGCCAGAGCTGTGGATACAATCAATCTGAGCGTGCTGGTAACAACTCAACTTTCACACGATTTTATCCAGTACATTCTGAACATGTTGTCTGTGTCTCAAATGTGTCCCGATTTTAACATAGATACATTAAATAGTTTCTCCAGTTTCACAGGTATCACTGAGGTCATCACATTTCTATACATTGAGGTTTTATGACATAAAGAGGAGCTACTTAATCAATACTGTATTATCAGTGATGCTCAAATGTCCACATAAAAAATTACAATATTGATACATAAGTTTATAGCACATGTACTTCATAAATATTTTAAACACTGCTTGGTCAGTGGAATTTTACACCACTTTCCCATCACAGGATATTTTGTATCATTTTAACAAAATGATTCATAACAAAGTATCTCTAGAGAGCAGAAGGTTCAAAATCCTTTTAGTTGGGTATTATGTGTACATAATCAAGGATGCATTGTAAGTAGGGTTTTTTTCTCTATATGAGGGTGGTTTTTCAATTTTAGAGCAGGACTTACTGATTTCACATTCAGATTTTGTAAGGCTCTTATTAAAAACCCTACTTATACCCTACTTGCTTAAATTTTATTTGCTTGTGTTTAAGCTGTTAGCTTGCACATGGTAACATATTTTGTTACTGTGACATATTTCCTGCGCTCCAGCTTCAGCTCCTCTCCATGCGCTTATGCCAAAGTGAAATATCTTATGAAAGGGAAATATCAAACTAAATTGTCCTACCATTATTTTGGTTACTTTTGCTATTTGTACTGCTCCCTTAAAATACCTTGGTGGGGGGAAATAGATTGCCATCTATAACATTGTTTTGATTGCAAGCAAAATTGTTCCTGTAATGTAAAAAAAAACGTTGCCACTTGATAACCAGCGACCTGCTGGAATCCTGCTCTATGAGGGTGTTGTTGGTTTTTCTTGAAAGCACACTAACTGGAGGTCGGTATAAACTATGGAGGGCAGGAGTGCATGAACTTGGTTTAAGCTAACACAACCACAACCAGGGCAGGACAATTTCACTTGTCATCACTATAACTGGCATTCTATTGGTTGGGTTGAGCTAAAGAAATTTAGCTCTTACTGTAATGCACTCAGTTATTCCACCCCTGTTCTCTGTGGTCGTCTGATGTTGTGTTTTTCTTGTCCAGGCCGCCCAGAGGAGGAACAGTCATCAATTTGCATCCACCGCTGTCACTATCAGTGTTCAGGTGAAGAGCCTTCACCCTCCACAGTTTCAGAAGCCTCTGTACGAGGGGGTCATCAGTTCAATCGGCTCCATGGCCATGGACGGGGATAAGCCGCTGTACATCCACGCTACAGATGCAGACTACAATGAGGTAAAACACTCCAGATGCTACAAACACTCCAAGACTCCAGACTCAATATAAGAAAAGAAAAAGTCAAACTACTTTAAAAAAGTTTTTAAGCTTTGCATTGGTGAAAAAACGGATGCATCTGAAAAAGTAACATAAACAACAAAGTCCAATGGAAACAGACTAAGTAAATAAAAAATGACAGGATGTGTGACTTAAACCCTTTACTATCTGTTGTAATCTGCTCACTACAACCTTCTTCAAATAAAAATATGGGACAAACAGAAATCTCCACCGTACTTCCAATATCATCTTTGTTCATCTCAGGTTTGACTTCTGTTATCTTGTGGGACCCTGTCCCTCTGTAAATACTTAATGGCGCCCGACTGGAAAATCGGTGCCAAGAAGGGTGAACTCCAAATATTCCGATAAAATCTTTAAAAAATGTTCTGGAGATGTGTTTAACATTTACTTTTTATTCCAAATTTTGTTTAAAAAATGGCTTGAGTAATCCAATTTATGAAAAAAGTAAATTGTGGATTAAATTTAGTTTTTTTTGAGGTTTCTACCTTCTAACTGTACACACAAATGAAATGTAACAGTAAAACTGTCTTTTATAATGACAAATATGAGATGTGGGCAGTGAGCCTGACTATGAACAAGGCAACTTTGAATGAACAGTGAAACATTGTCTGATGCAGATGTGGGCTGCTGTTAATCTGCACATTTAAAGGTAGGGTTGGTAATTTGTTTCTGTAACATCTTGTTTATAAAAAATCCTCTTCATGTCCTGATAGTTATAAATAATAAAGTTGTCTGAGAGTAAAAACTTGCTGTCTGTAGCCCTCGGAGGACTGCAATATTCATGCCCAGTCATTCAGTCTGGATAAAAAGATTGGCCGTTGTAACCGTAACAAACTAACAGCCCTGCCTGCCTGCTCCACCCTGCCGGTGCTGAGTCGGCTTGTGTTATGGGGGGTAGCTTTGACAAGAGGGTCGATGGAAATTGGAAATTCAGGATTACCAACTAGAGCCCTGTGTGGGACTGTTTTCTTCATCCCGCTCCTGCCCGCTCCCGTTGAATTTCTGACAATTAACGCCCGCATCAGAGGGGCAATGTTTACCCTGTGCAATTACTTTGGATACGCTAAAACAGGCAATACTTACTTTTTAATAGTGTTATAATGGTGTAGTTTTTCCCACATTAGGAAAATTGATTGGTTAATCTAAATAACCTGTAGATTGTGTCTCTGATCTCATTGGTTGCTAAAGTTAATGTATTACTACACAATACGTTTTCATTTTCTGACATGATGACATCACTTATAATCCTTTATAATCCTATAGGATTCAGGAATACCTCAAAAATGAATTGTCTTTGAGACGTCTTCATGACGTCACTTATCATATGACATCATGTGATTTGGAATAATTTTCTCTTTAGCCCGAATATTTTTTTTTGGTAATATTATTACCAGATGCTTTTAAAGAGACACAAAATACGGCTGGTGTGTTTTCTACTTTTAAGGTTAGATCCACACTACTAAGTACGAATACATAGATTTGTGTATGCTAAAACAGACAGTTTTAAAATTAGTCTGTGAAATTGCAAATATTTTTGAAAAAAGCATAAAAAGGAGTAGAATGGTTGGGATTAGCTGCCCTCAGTACTCTCATCTCAACCGCAACGTGTGTGTTACACTCCCGCCCGGTCCTGCAAAAATCTGAGAATTTATGCCCGCACAATAATAGAGATGCATTGATTTTGTGTATTCTCCCATCCCACAGGAGAAAACAAGTCAAACAAGAATCTCATTAATAAAGAGATTCAGGGGGTTGTTTGTTTTAGTGTTGTAAAGACCTTGTTTGAGCTTTTTTTTCACATCATTTGTTGACTCCATCCTGTTGCTAGGCTACTCAGTGTTTTTTTTAGCCGCCCGTTCCCACCCCTAGCAAAGTTCAAACCGTCCACTCCCACGAGATTTGCGTTGGGTCCCACAGGACCCAATCCCAATGCAGCCCTCTATTACCAACCCTAGCTTTAAATGTATTAGCGTTGTGTGTTTGATGACTTTTGCGAGTGTACCTAATATGCAGCACTAACCTTTTAATTTCTGTTCAAACAGGTTCAAAATCCTTTCATTGTGTACACCATTAATGGGAGCAGTGATTTCTCCATCATTAACGGCTATTTATTCATGACTAAGGATCTCCCAGCCACCACATTATCCCTAAACGTAAGTTCAAAATCTAATAAAGGTTAATGCGACTGACTGATTTTCTTATTTATAACACTTGTTTTCCTCTTTGTTCGTCCAGGTGGTGGCAACAGACGAGTCAAACGATCAATCAGATACAGCTCAGCTCATTGTGCAGGTGAAATCAGGTAGGAAGCAAACCCTCAAAGACGGCTGTAACAAATAACACAGCTATGAACAGGACAGAGGCTCTTCAGGCTCTGATCAGCGTTTAGCTGGGAACAAGCCTTTGCAGCCTTTCCTATTCCAGAACTCATTCCTCTTCAGTGACAAACCATTTGTCAAAGAGGTAATGGTGTAAGCAAGTGACAAGACATAGTACCCTCCTGTCATGTCCAAATTTAGCTAGGCAACAGCAATAAGGGCGGGACATATGAGGTGGTCTTCGTGGGCTTGGTAGAGTGTACCCTGAAGGACGCCGCCACTGAATTGAGACCTAGCTAGTATGTGCCTACATACGCAGTTGCACAGTGCTCATACACTTTGCATGTCACACAAACAGCACAGTTGGATTTAAAGAGAATGAGACACAGCGCTGTAATTTGTTTATTGCACGCTACACCCAAAACACACCCATGATAAATTAAGAGACTGAGTAAAACCCTGTGAACCATGTGTTGCAATGGCTCAAACTATCTCTGCCTACCATTGTCCCCTCTCCCTTCATCGCTGTCAGACATGTTGTACATTGTATTAATACTTTAAACATATATACCTCACAATTTATGTTAGACATTGTCTTCTAATGACGTCGATGTGCTCTGTTACACACAAAATCTATTGGACCTCTGTCCTGGGAGAGGAATCCCTCACTTGCAACTCTTTGAGGTTTCTGTGTTTGTTTCCTGTTGAAAGTTTTTTTGGGTCGTTTTTCTATACTCTTGCTGAGGGTTAAGGGCAGAGGATACAGTATCTCACCTTGTTTAGCCCCAAGAGACAAATTGTGATTTGTTAATATGTGTGAAACAAATAAAATTCCAGTGGTACAGTGGAGCAAGTAGATTCCTGGTTTGAACCCCAGCTTGGAGTTTTACGGGTGCTTGCATGTCTTTTCTGGGTACTCCGACTTCCTCCCTCAGTGAATGGCTGTTTGTCTCTGGCGACCTGTCCTCTCATCCAGCTCTCTTCTCCTGTTCTTTAGCAGGATAATGGACTACTGGACAGATTAACCTTGGTGGAAGGATGTGTTATGGGTCAGGAAAAAAACATAACATTTTGGTACAGATCAGGGGGATGATCCAGGATTTTGTTGTTGCTTTTTTATCTTTGCAAGATGTAGTCATTTCCATTGATTTCTCAGGGAATAATTCATGTATCTTGATGTCAATATTACAAGAGACAACATTTTGGTTGTAACAATTCAGGTGTCATGCAAAGGGAATTTACTGAACATATATAGCATAGCTGATTTGTAATGTTTCATTATTAGCAAGCACCAAGTCTTGTAGGCTTGAGTGTGTGGGATTCATCACTGTTGAATGTGTGCAGCCGAGTGTCAGTATATGTGGTCCCAGGTAACCAGGTACACAGGGTTTCAAAGTATGCTTTTCTCCCAGGTCTCACCACCACCAGTTTCCCTATGAGCACCACAAACATTATGACCACAACGCCCATAAGTGAATCCACCACCTACAGCAAGACCACTGAGGATATTGTGTCCACCACCAGCCCAAATGTACCCACTGACAGCAGCATCTCAACCACCATCCCCAGCACCAGTGCAAGCATACTCTCTACCACTACTACTACTACTACTAGTATGTCCACTGCCACTGAAGGCAGCATTTCAACATCTAAAGCCAGTATGACCACTGAAGGAAGCATCTCCACAGCCAACACAGCTCATCCTCCCACAGGTGCTTACAGTAGCTACTCCTTTAAATCAAATATTGTCCTTTTGGAGCAAATTGTACCTAGCAACATCAGTCAGTAAAGAATATCAACACATCGCATATGAAAGTGATTCCAGGCAACCAAGACAAAGGGATACAAGAATCCACCTGTAAGTTAATGTAAGGAAACAATGTCTTATATACATCTAAAGCAACCACCCAAAAAGATTTGTTGGACAATTACTGCAGTAAGTTTTTAAGAAAGAGCAGAACCTGCCCCCCCAAAACTAAAAACCTCAATATGTTTTTTTACTGACTTTATCAAAGAGTGGGGTCTTACCATTAGTGCAGGACTTGATTTCACATTCAGACTGAGTCATACTCTTGCTCAAAGCCCTGCATATGCTCTCAAAGACCCCGTGCTTGTGCTTGGATCTGCATTGCTTGTGCTCAAACTGTGAGCTTAGTTGCTTGGACAGATTTCTTGCGCTGCAGCTTCAGTTCTTTGCCTTGCACTCATGATGCTTCTGTGGACGTCTCTCTCTCTTTTAATGCATGTGTGCTGTGAATGAGTTCAGATTGTTCAATATGTTTTAGTTCATTTCATGCCTTATTTTTTAAAAGGTGTTTGATTTACAAATTGTAAAAATTGTAAATTGTACAACA